TCAAGTTGAAGTTGTGCAGCATTTCAGACGGGTCTAACAGCCATGTTCGACAGCGCCCAGGCATGCGCAATCTACAAACGCCAGGCCAGAAAACCGATCCACTTCCAGTAAGTTGCCCTCGACGAATACAGATGGTGAAGTGGCAAGAACGTATACAGTACAATTAGACTCTGGATTCCACCAGCATGACCTGCATTTTCTCCATGTTCAAACAGATTAGGCTCTGATTAACTAGTCCCCATGTGAAAACACGTGATTAGCACCTGTCAAACAGACTCCGTAATGGTGGAGTCGTTACACTTGCTCGCAATGTAGGTGAATACAGAGGAAGCCAGACCAGAGTGTTAGGGGGCGCTCACCGACTGTCCTTACGGAACTCACTCGTTCCGTTGTGCCTTATGGACTCTCTCTCGAGCCCAACCAGCAGCCGCACAGCGGCGCATGATATATAGGCAGAATGGTATTGCCGACAAAGACAAGGGAGACTGGAATGGCCATTTCTGGCTTATTATTATTATTATTGTTTGGGCTCGAGGGAGAGTCCATAAGGCACAACGGAACGAGTGAGTTCCGCATGAACGATCGGTGAGCGCCCCCTAACATTGTATATTCCCGATCGAAAACCGACAAGGCAACGGGCTCGTGGCCCGGTGAGTAGAGGCGTTGACTTCTAAATCAACAGGTCGCGAGTTCGAGGCTCGGGTGTTCCACACTTCGGGCTTGGGTATGGCTGGCTGACGACGGCTAATAAACCAGAAATGGCCATTCCAGTCTCCCTTGTCTTTGTCGGCAATACCATTCTGCCAGACCAGAGTCTTGAAATCTAACTCAGCCACCTCGAAGTCAATCAGGTGTCCTGGCCTGGTGATCCGCCGTTGAAAGGCAGATCGGGATCCTTTATGGGGGACGGAGTGTGAAAGGAGGAAGCGGAGAGAAGGCTAGCAAAGGACAAACCCTGCGGACCACCATAATCACACTATGATCGTCGTTACTATATTGCCCACTACCAATGCCTATTCACGGGCCCAAATGGATCACGTTGGACCCCTTCGGGTGCAACACAATTTTAATCGGGTCATCCACCTCCCTATCGCACATACCGCATGCACAACAAAACTGCTTCATCCCCGGAATATTGACCCACACCTGACCTCACGGTGGCCTCATATTCTAGGTCCGTCTCGCTCAAGTAGCATTTCGTCTTGCCAACGACAATGCGAGCACCGCCAGAAAACAGGGAACAACCGTCTGTCCTGCAGACGGGACTGTCCTGTGGCTTCCCAGCATTGAAAAATCGAGTGATAAATACAAGAGGCGCCCTCACGGCATACCAGTGCAACCTGCAGTACAATAAAAATGACAAGCTAGAATTTATCACTACGTGTTAAGCGTCGAGGATTTGAAGGTTGTAAACTGATGGGGAAATTCGCTCATGCTCAGGACTGAGACTTCAACTGCAAAGGCTCCTTTCTAAAGTGACCTTCTTGGCACTCTCACGCATGCAAGATCCGTGCCGCCCATGTTAGAGTTCGAACCAGATCGTGTGTGTGTGTGTGTGCTTGCAGGTGAGACTACACCTAGCGTCCATTTGCTGGCACCCAACTCTCACCTGTGGCTCCACGTAGCTGGGCTCTGCTCAGCGGCCACACCCCGGGCAACCGCCTCGACCGGCGGGCTAAACCAGGTGAGAGCGCTGTGCTCTTGTGCCGCGTGCACAGTGTACTGCGGGCTCCGCTGGACGTTTGGTCGGATGAAGCGTTGCGCCGGCGTCGTCGAGACGAGGCTCTGCCTGGTACGCCGTTGGAGAGCTGCTGCCGGGATGGGTCCCCGCATCGCCTTCGCTGAGACGCGCCCACCTACGCCGACGGAGACCGCAGACCTCGGCATATGCGGTAGTTCTCCACTACAAACATAAAGTCGTGGTCCCATAGTGGGATTCGGTCGCGCCAAACAGGCACACAGGCAGCCCGATTCGGGGGACACTGCCTGTCCCCATTACGGGGGAGGGCCTAGAAAAGGTGGCCTAAACATTACTGGGCACCACGCCGTCTCCAGGCTAGCCAGGGCCGCAGACGTCTAAACATGGTCGAAACACTCAAAACCGAAACAACAACACAACCAATAATAACAACAACAACAACTATACTCCTTCTCCTCATACTACCTCTTCTAACTCTATCTCCGTCTATTCTTCTGCCTATACTTCTCCTTCGTCATCTTCTTCTCCACCTCCTTCCCGTCGCCCCACTCGTTTTCCCCAGACTGACAGGGTGAGCCCGCTCACTCTGGCAGCCTGGAATGTTCGTTCCCTTTTAGACAATCCGAGGAGCAACCGACCGGAACGAAGGGCGGCGCTAGTGGCACGAGAACTGGCGCGCTACAAGGCGGACATCGCCGCACTCAGCGAGACCCGATTCTCCGAACAAGGCCAACTGGAGGAGGTGGGTGCCGGTTACACCTTCTTCTGGAGTGGTCGAACCAGGGCAGAGCGACGAGACGCGGGCGTCGCCTTCGCCATCCGGGCCGACATCGTGGGACGACTGCCCTGTTTGCCGCAGGGAATCAATGACCGCATGATGAGTCTCCGCCTGCCTCTCCGGCGAGGAGGCAAGTTCGCCACCATCATCAGCGCCTACGCTCCGCCGATGAGCAGCCCCGACGTCGCCGCAAGAGACAAATTCTACGAGGACCTGCATGCCCTCTTGGCGACTGTGTCGAAGGCGGACAAGTTGATTGTCCTTGGCGACTTCAACGCTCGCGTCGGCACAGACCATACTGCCTGGAGGGGAGTGCTGGGTCCTCACGGTCTCCGCGGCTCCAACGTCAACGGTCTGCTGCTCCTCCGCACCCGCGCAGAACACCGCCTTATCCTGACGAACACGTTCTTCTGTCTGCCGGAGCGAGAGGAGGCCACCTGGAGGCATCCTCGGTCGCGTCAGTGGCACCTACTGGACTATGTCCTCGTTCGGAGGCGAGATCAGCGGGACGTGCTGGTGACGAAGGCGATCGCGGGTGCTGACGGGTGGACCGACCATCGCCTCGTCATCTCGAAGATGCGTATTCGCCTACAGCCTCGCAGGAGACCACAAGGTAAGCGACCCCCAGGTAAGCTGAATGTTGCTTTGTTGTCTTTGCCTGCTCACCGTCTCCATTTCAGCAATGAGCTAGCTCAACGGCTAGACAATTTTCCTATCGCTGCCGCCGACGACGCCGCCGCCGCTGCCGAGAACACCTCCGTGGAAAACCGCTGGTGTCAACTGCGAGACACGGTCCAGTCGACGGCGCTCGCCGTCCTCGGTCGCGCTCCCCGCCAACACCAGGACTGGTTCGACGACAACGACGCCGCCATCAGCAATTGCTAGCTGAGAAGAACCGCCTACACAAAGCCTACGTAGATCACCCTACTGAGGACAACAAAGCTGCCTTCTACCGCAGTCGCCGACAGCTTCAGCAACGACTGCGCGAGATGCAGGACGCTTGGACTGCTCGCAAAGCTGAGGAGATCCAAGGCTATGCCGACCGCAACGAATGGAAGAACTTCTTCTCCGCGATCAAAGCTGTCTACGGTCCGCCGACGAAGGGCACTGCTCCTCTCCTCAGCGCCGACGGCAGCACTCTCCTGACTGAGAAGACGCAAATCCTACAGCGATGGGCCGAGCATTTCCAGGGCGTCCTCAACCGCCCTTCCGTCTTCTCCGACGCCGCCATCGCCCGCTTGTCGCAAGTGGAGGCCAACGTGGACATCGACCTCCCGCCATCTCTCCAGGTAACCATCAGGGCCGTGCAGCAACTCTCCAGCGGGAAAGCACCCGGATCGGACGCAATCCCTGCTGAGGTCTACAAGCACGGAGGTCCCCTACTGATGGATCACCTGACTGCGCTCTTCCAGGAGATGTGACGTCAAGGTGAAGTCCCGCAAGATTTCAAGGACGCAACTATCGTGCACCTATACAAGCGCAAAGGGAATCGCCAAGTCTGCGACAGCCACCGCGGCATCTCCCTACTGAACATCGCCGGGAAGATCTTCGCTTGCATCCTGCTCAACCGCCTCAATAACCATCTGGAACAGGGCCTTCTGCCGGAAAGCCAATGCGGCTTCCGTCGTCATCGTGGGACCACGGAT